CTCTCTCACACACACACACACACACACACACACACACACACACACACACACGTGCTTGAGTTCATCCACTAAGAATCTACCAATGCACATAACCACACCCTCCAAGTGGATGTGGAAGGAGACCAAGGACTAAGGTGCATCCTCAGTTCTTGTTTTTTTGGTTCTACCTGCCCCCACTCCCTTTTTCTCTTGCATCCTTTCTGGAAATGGTAAGCTCTCTATTTGTTTCCACTTCCACAACCATCCCTTGTCTCTCCCCTTTTCCAGAGATGGCACATTCCTCCTTTCAGTTCACCACCCCTCCTGCCCTATTCTCTCCACAAGTCTTTCCATGTGGCATTCCATGACATCCTCTAAGCTTTCTTGAGATGGCACCTTCTTTCCCTCTTTCTGTTTGCCAACCCCTCTTTCTCTGGTCTCTCCACAAGGCCCTCCATACTTTCATGAGATAGCCTATTTTTGTCCATTAGAGTGTACGGTCTAAAGTTTTACTTTCACCCATAAAAGTTTACTTTGACTTGCAATTGTGCTTATGCCATGTGAATTATTTCTGCAAAGAGAAGCAAAAGCCCAGGTAAACCATCTCCAAACCTAACAGTACTACTAGAATGTTGCATTTAGGGAAGATTTACATGGCAACTCTACTCATAACACCATTTCATACTACAACCCTATAACTGCAGCTTCCTTTGTTAACACTTTTGGAAATATGTGTCTGGATGGGGCTAAACAAGTAAGGCTCACGCAGTAACACACTATTTGCCAGGATACCACCCTTCCCACCTGTGAATTTATATTGTCTTCATAAGCTCTGTGTGTTAGTCTGGGTAGACTAGAGAAACAAATCCATGGACACACATATGTGTATAAGAAAGAGATTTATATACAAGAGCAATTAAACATTGAGAAAACATCCCAGCCCAGTCCAGATCAAGTCCATAAGTCCGATATTAGCCCATATGTCTGATACCAATCTATAAAGTCTGCTTCAGATTCATGAAACACATGCAATGATGCCGAATGTAGATCACAGGCCAGGGGTTTTAAGTCCTTGGATCCAGTGGCATTGGAAATATCTCAGCTCTGGCAGGGGTCTCTGCATGGCTTCTCCAGCACCTACAGGGTTGCATCAGGGTGGGTCCAAGTCTCTTGTCAGCTGCTATGTCTGCCAGGGTGTGAACAGAGTCTCCTACCTCCAAGGAGGAAAAATACCTGAATTCCCAAAATCCTGTGTGGCCCACACAGAAGCCACATTGGCTATAACCTGATTGACAGGCTAGACTCCACCCCTACACGCTTAATCCTTAAATTGACAATTATATAACGACCACACTATGTATATCAGTGTTTACCAACTAACTGAACAGAGCTTTGTGTTCTGGGCTACATCGTACCTAATATATCTGTTACTAATGGCGCCGCTACTATGCTCATTTCCTTAAGTATCATACACAGAATGTCACACAAATAAGGACCACAGATCTTTTTGTAAAGGTGAAACAGAGGTACAGGGAGATGGACAGACATAACTGACAGGACAAGGGAGAGCAGAAACAGAAATAGCTTTATTAGGGGGTGAAGCTCCCGGATGAGGTTCCGTGACCTAGGCCAACAGGTCAGGGAAATCATGCTCAGCACTTTTTATTAAAGGGGTGGTGAGGAATGTATGGCAATTAGCATATGGGGTCTGGACATTCCCAGAATTGCCCATAGACTCCTTGCTGCTTTCTTCAAACCTGGACATCTGGTTTCACTGGTTATCTTATCTGGCGCCATCTGCTGCTGACCTTTGGGATGTGCATGGAAGTACATGCAGGGCCCTGTTCTGCTTCAGTTTAGTCCAAACAGGGCTGTCTATTTCGGACCCGGCCCAAACACTTTTTATTAGGGATCAGTACAGTAGTGGAAATTGAAGGGACAACTTGGAGTAGCTGGAGGAAATATGTATGTTAATATTTCTTCCAAATTAGCACAATTCAACATCAAGGATATCAAT